ACTCCAGCAGGTGTAGGAGGTCCACTCTTTAGGGGGTCTCTCCCGTGGGGAAAAGTGGGAGGATGTTTGAACTCTGCTCGCTTGTTTGTATGGAGTAAACTGCGAGCCCTTCTTGGCGGGGAGGGGACTCCCCTCCACTTGGTGGTGGATTTTGTACCTTTTGATTGTATTTTTGGGGTTGCAGCTTGCCTCAGGAAGGTTGAAGTGTGCTCCAAACCATCAGCTCCCTTGCTAAACTTCTGTCATTTAAGCCTCCTTCTGGATGGGAGCTTCTGTAAAAAGCTGGCTGTAGTCTACCATCTTGGCTCCGCCCCCAAATTTCTTACTTTTTAAGTCATATATTTGCTTGAGTTCTTTTCTTTTAGTTCGTAATTAAGATTATATAATACATGTTTATTTTAGAAAAATGAGAAAATGAAGACAAAATAAAAATTAAGTAAATATCCATAATTCTACCCTTTAGACATTTATCACGATTAACTCTTGGTCTAAGTTTCTTTTGACTTTTTCTATGCTTGTATACAGTGCACATAACGTTCATGTGTATTTGGTAGGGAAAAAACTACACACTGGGTACGGAAAGGGAGGAGTAGTTGCAAACTTTCAAAATGCCAAGAGCAGCAACATGTTGATAATTTTTGAAGCTAAGTGATGAATATATAGGGGCTTATCATCTCATTTGATGTTTATATATGTTTGAAATGTTCCATGAAACATAGTTTAAAATGTATAGCATGATTACAGTGTGGCAGAAACTAGATTAAGCACTTTAGAACACAGTATTTCAGGATCAATACAGTCCAAACACAGGGTCATTTCTGTTTAGAAGGCAAGGAACCATCTGCTATATTCCCTTTTGCTTAAATAATACTTTGTGAAAAGGAGATATTCAGGGATACCTTAGAAAACATTAAGAATATTTGAAAAATTTAAAATATTAAGCCAATACAAAGTTTAAAATATTTAGCTGTTACATGTAAATGGTATATGAAAAGTGGAGGTTGCATTATGTATTTCCTTTTGAAATATTTTAAATGCAGTGTAAGATATACAAGTTAATTTTAAATCCACTGTTCAATTATGTGGGTATTTTGTATATATATTTATAAGTGTATATTTTTTAAAACATCATTTTTCCTATTACAACTGACAAAGAAAAGATGATCCTAACTCAAATGTTAGTCTGTTGTTTTGGTAGCATTATTAGAGTTAATTGAGTTGTCTTAGACCTACTGTTTAGAAGTTTATAGTGGCATAGGCATACAACAATGATAAGAGGATCTTACTGGGAGCTGTATTTTTTTTTTTTTTTTTTGAGACAGGAGCCTCAAGCTGTCCCCCTGGGTAGAGAGCTGTGACATCACAGCTCACAGCAACCTCCCACTCCTGGGTTCAAGCGAGTCTCCTGCCTCAGCCTTCCAAGTAGCTGGGACCACAGGCGCCTGCCACAATGCCCGGCTATTTTTTTTTTTGGTCGCAGCCATCGTTGTTTGGCGGCCCAGACTGGATTCAAACCCACCACCTTAGGTGTATGTGGCTGGTGCCTTAGCCACTTGAGCCACAGGTGCCGAGCCTGGGAGCTGTATTCTTGATAGGCCATTCAGGCTGCTACCTAGTGGATATGCTGGAAGGCTGTGGTCTGCAGTGACACATTTGGAGTTGACAGTGATGGGGAGCTTGGTGAGGGATTGATGCCTGTAGTGGCCATACCTTCATGGTGGGATCCACTGTTAAATAAAAAGCGCTTGTTTTATATCACATTGTTCTCAGTAATTTTACTGTTTGGGAGTCATTTTCTTGAAGCACCAGGAAACCTGCCACAAATCCAGAAGAGGATTTGAATTCAACCCCCAGTTCCCAGCCCCTTCCATTCTCTCTCTCTCTCCTGCACACTCTTAACTTTTCTGTTTCCTGGTGTAAATTGCCTTCTTAATTGTTTCTTTTAGCTATTTGCATTATGATTTCTTTTGTTGAAATAAATCCAATAGAATAGTTAGAATGCTAAAAGTTAGATTAATAAGAGGAAGTTCGTGTTTCTTGTTCAAAAATATTAGTGGTTAATGCAAGAAAAGTTTTAAGAAGTAATTTTTTTTTTTTTATTGAATGGTAACTGTGTATTAAGAAGTAATTCTTAAAATATCTCTAAAGCCAGAATTAAGAGAAATAATAGTCATTTTATAAGTAATTTAAATGATTATTTCTTACTTTCTTAGTATTGGAAGAATATTCTTGAGATTAGCGTAGTCCTAATAGTCACAGAATGTGAGTCACTGTTATAACTTAAAATTTTATAGTGGTCATGTTAAAAAAAATGAAAAGAAACAGGAAAAAATTTTAATAATTTATCAATCCAGTATGTGAAAGATATTATCATTACAACATTTACAGTCTTTTTTTTAGCTGAGTTTTAAAAAAAATTTTTTTTTTTTGCAGTTTTTGGCTGGGGCTGGGCTTGAACCCACCACCTCTGGCCTGTGGAATCAGCGCCATACTCCTTTGAGCCACAGGTGCTGCCCCTGAAAAAAAAATTGTTTTTAAGACAGTCTCACTTTGTCATTCTTGGTAGAGTGCTATGGCGTCAGAGCTCACAGCAACCTTAAACTCCTGGGCTCAAGCGATTCTCTTGCCTCAGCCTCTCAAGTAGCTGGGAATATAGGTGCCTACCATAATGCCTGGCTATTTTTTAGAGATGGGGTCTTGCTTTTGCTCAGGCTGGTCCCAAACCTGTCTACCTGAGCTCAGGCAGTCCACCTGCCTCAGCCTCCCAGAGTGCTAGGATTACAGGCATGAGCCACTATGCCTGGCCGAGTTTTTGAAATCTTGTATGTATTTTACACTTAGAACACATCTCAACTCAGACTAGCCATAGTTCGGGTGTGCAGTAGCCATGTGTGGCTATAGTGTCTGCCATATTGGTCAGTACAGGCGTAGTGTATTCATTATAGTTAATTAAAACTTATAATTTGTTCTTGAGATAATTACGTACTTTCCACTATGTTTAAAGGTCATTGTAATTTTGCATGACTGAAATAGTAAATAATAAAAGACCAGCCTGAGCTAG